AGTTCGATTCCCGCTCACGGCCAACGCCGGTGACGATGATTTGAACTGGTCCTGATTCCATCTGTCATGTAACCAATAATCACTGGGAGATATTTTACCAACATAACATAACGCAACCTACACTCGGGTGTTGAACGCCCATCTAGCCACGCTATGGCAGAACTAGACACGGTTCGCTATCCTGGCCCGGACCACAAGCTGGGTCCAGGACCGCGTGGCTAGAGGCTTCTTTTAACCGACGTGGATCTTCTTCACCAGCAACACGAAGAACCCCGAGCCCCTCACGGGGCCCCCGTTATATCGGCCTGGGCTGGGGCTGGCTCCGCCCCTCGCCCCGCCCACCTTCAACATCTCTCGAGCTCTTTCCCGAAGGCTCCCGAGAGCTCTTTTATACCACGTGACCGCTCAGCGGTCCCCGTCTACCGGTGACCCCCTCCAATATCATCCGGTCACGTGTCAGCAGGTCAGCCAGTGTATCATGCCCCAACGTAACCCTGACTGGCTGACACTCTCTCTCGTTCCCTCACCGGGAGCCCGCACCACACACTGTACGTGGTGCCTCCGCGCTGACCAGCGCTCACCCAAGCCCCGCTAGGGCTGGTACTACGCCCAGTAAGGGGGCTACACATCATGCCAACACATTATCCGCCGTGGCTTCGTAAGCCCGGCACCAAACAGTGACATTCACAGTCACTACACATGTATTACAATTTGAATCTGAGCTGACATTCAATTCGCCCGTAATGGATTCACGAATCCGACAACCTCTTGAACCTACTTGGGGGGGGGGGCAGTGAAGGGGGGGGGGTCGCTGCACTTTGTGCTTCAGTTTTCTCTCGCCTAACCGCCCACCGACCAACCCACTCCCACTCAGGTGGTGCACAGCCTACTGCGGCTGGGCGTCCCGGAGAGCAGGGCCCTCCTGCAGGGCGCCTGGGCCGTCCTCCGCGTCAACGTGACGGCCCTCGGCGACGCCGACGTGGCGCGGTGGTTCAACGCGAGCCAACTGGGGCCGCTCCTGCCCGGCCTCGACGCGGACACGGCCCTGTCGGTGCCCCTCGCCGTCAGCTGCAACAAGTTCGCCACCATGTGAGGGCCTCGGCTGGACACGTGCCATTGTTTATAGTGATTCAACTAAAACAAGCTACTACTGGTTCTGGCACACGGACAGCAGACACGGCCAGGGTCAGGCCTCGGGGTCAGCGTTAAGGTTTGAGTTAGGGTCAGCGTTCAGGTTAGCGTGGGGGTTTGAGTTAGGGGAAAGGTGAGTGGCTACCATTAGAGTCGGAGTCGTGATCAGGGTCAGAGTTGGGGTCAGAGTTAGGGGTTTGTGTATTTCACCGGGTAAGGCCCACCCCCCCCCACCAAGCTGCACTATGTAGCTCTTTTTCAGAAGCGACCCTGGCCAGCGCAAATGATAGCGCCGCGAAATTAACGGCGTTATCGCGTGGAAACGTACAACGGCCACATACCCTGAAACGTGCGACATTGATTCTAAATGTGGAGGGAAATACGGAGGGGGACCCGGAGAAAAATCCACGCGACCACGGGGAGAGAGAGAGGTGAGGGAAGCACCGCAACTTCAAATACACAGCAGCAGGCGTCAGGGTCGAGATCGAACCCACGACCTCCTGCGTACCAGGCGAGGGAGTTGACATCTCCTAGCCTACGGTGGGAACTTTACCTGACCTAATCGATGAGGCAAAGATGCAGCCCTGCAATTGCTTCCTCATGCCATGGCTGGTGGACGAGCCTCCACTTTGAGCTCCAAATCCATTCCCTTATAGAAATTAACGTAATAAATTAAGTTTTTATTTTTTTAGTGTCATTCGTGCGAATTGCATCTAACGAATGCTGCACAATAATCACATTAAGGGCTAAATCCTATACATATATATATATAAAATATCCCTACCATGTATTTTTCCTTTCAAGGCCGCAGTGTTCTCAACAAAGGTATTTGACAGACGTGTTGCGTTTTTGTTATTGTTGTTGTTGTTTGTGCACCAACTGCTGACACAGTGTCGCAAATAATCCCATTAACAAGTCTTGGTTGCCATTTTGGACTTGCCCGTTAGAAGACCGGCCTCATTGATTAAAGGATGTATCCACACACACGCACACACACCACACACACACCACACACACGCACACCACACACGCCACACACACACACCACACACCACACCACACACACACACCACTCACACCACACACACACCATACACACCACACATACCACACACACACCACACACACACCACACACACACACCACACACAAACCACACACACCACATACACACCACACACACACACACCACACACACACCACACACGCACACACCACACAAACCGCACACACACACCACACACACGAACACCTACTTTGTGCCGCAGAGTGGGAGCGTTCAGCCGCAAGGTCTACAGCGGCCTGGACGTGGACGTGCGCAGGGCCGTGGTCAACATGAGCCTGCAGTTCTACCAGCCCACGGGTTCGTGCCGCAGGTCCCCCTTGATCCCCTTTGCCCCGGGGACCCCGGTGACCACCCAGCTCAGCGGGGGAATCGGGGGGCAGCCGCGTGACGTTCGGCCCTCAAGGCACGACGTTTCGCTCCACGCCCCTGGGAGCTTTTTCGCCCCGAGTAGAACTTCGTACGCGGGCGCGGTTGGCTACGTACGGTGCAACAGAAGTTCAACACACACACACACGTAACGTGTACGTGACGCCAGGTGACCTCCTCGTGACCCCGCGTTGCCCCTTTGGGTGACCCCTCTCACGACCCCGCGGTAATTCCTCGCGTGACACCGCATGTCCACGTGTCAGTCCTCCCACCACCACCCCCACCGTGTGTGAACCGCTGTGACCTTGCACGACCTCGGCGTGACCTTGTTTAACCCCCGTGTGACCCTCCCCCCTCCCCCACCGCGTGTGAACCGCTGTGACCTTACACGACCTCGGCGTGACCTTGCTTAACCCCGGTGTGACCCTTCCCCCGCTCATCCACCATGTGTGAACCGCTGTGACCTTGCACGACCTCGGCGTGACCTTGTTTAACCCCCGTGTGACCCTCCCCCCTCCCCCACCGCGTGTGAACCGCTGTGACCTTACACGACCTCGGCGTGACCTTGCTTAACCCCGGTGTGACCCCGTGTCAGTCCCCGCCAGGTGCAGCATCGCCGTGTCCAGCGAGGAGCTTCTGCGCGTCTATCTCGGCCTCTTCGGGGAGCAGGCCGAGCTGGCGGAGCTGAGCCGCCTGCTGCCCACGTTCCAGCCGGTGAGCGCTGCCCCCACTGTCGTCACCCACCACCACTCATCACTCACCACTCACCGCTACCACTCACTGCTACCACTCACTGCTGCCAGTCACCGCTACCACTCACCGCTACCACTCACCGCTACCACTCACTGCTACCACTCACCGCTACCACTCACCGCTACCACTCACCGCTACCACTCACCCATGCCCCACGACCCTAACCCTGCTGCCCCACTCACCGCTGCCACTCACCGCTGCCACTCACCGCTGCCACTCACCGCTGCCACTCACCGCTACCACTCACCAATACCCCACGAACATAACCCTGCTGCCCCACTCACCGCTGCCACTCACCGCTGCCACTCACCGCTGCCACTCACCGCTGCCACTCACCGCTACCACTCACCAATACCCCACGAACATAACCCTGCCGCCCCACTCAACCCATCACTCACCTGCCCCCCTGCGGCAAAATGCAAAACCAAATTGAACGCGATACATTTTTGTGGTGTGCAGTCATTAGCAACTGGGCCACAAGCTCACTACAGCTTCATCACAACTCAGCCAGGTTTGGGCAGCTGAAACCTGGATTCAAACCCAGGTTATCTCAGCGGGGGGGCTGGCTCAGTTACAGTTGAGAACACACGTGGCCGAGAGCCTGGTGTTCGAACCCCGGGTTCTGAGCGGTGCGAGCTCAGCGCTGTGACCTCGAAGGCATTTTGCCTCCGCCCGCAGCGAGGGGAGGGCGTGAGCGCGCGGCATGCGACAGCGGAGGAGCAAATTCACACGGCGCGCGCTAACACACACGCCGCTCCACTCCGCAACTCAACCCGCACGAGCGTGCTGGCGTTCCGATCAACGTCACAGGCGTCTCAGGTGATCGATCGATGATCCGAACGTGCAGCCGCTCGCTCCCCTGCCGCCGCGGCTACCGTCGCCGCCGTTTCTCGTCGGCGTCGCTCGTTGGTCCCTTCCGCCCGTGTCAGCAGGGGCTCGGCCAGCCAGACGCGCCGACTGTTTCGTCTCAACCGCGTTCGTCCACCACCACCACCACACCAGAGGTCGCAAACGGGTTTTGATTCCTTACCCATACCCGTACCCGGCCGCACCAGGGTCGCAAATGGGTACCCGTACCCGGCCGTACTCGTACCCTACCCGTACCTGGCCGGGTACGGGTAGGGTACGAGTATCGGGTACCTGATTGCAATCTCTGGGATGAAGCCATGTTGCAGGCGCGGGTGGGTTGATTCTAGGAACTTGAATTGTGAGAAGAGACAAGACGTTGGGAAATGAGTGACAAACAGTTACTCACCAGTGACTCACAGCCTACCCGTACCCGTACCCGGCCGCACCAGGGTCGCAAACGGGTACCCATACCCGTACCCAGCCGGGTACGGGTAGCCGGGTATCGGGTAGGGTACGGGTATTGGGTACCCGGTTGCGACCTCTGCACCACACCGCCCGTCACAACTCTCCCGTCTGGAATTCCCTCGGAAGTTTGGAATTCCGCTTCCATCGTCTCTTCCCCCACCCACCCCCCGAGCTATTACCGCACTGCGCTCGACTCGAGCAGCGCGCTTACCGCTCTTCACTGTTACACCTACGGTGGCGCTGCTTGTTGCTGGCCGCTGGGCGTTTTGGGCCTTTGGCACCTTGTGCTCAGCAACCGTGATTCTATATATATACACAAAAAAACAAATGTCAGCAATTGTGTCATATTTATTTAATCAATTTGCTTGTTTGTTCGGAGAGGAAAGGTCAAGTCGCGGCACAAAGCGTTGTGCCGCGGGCAAGGGAAGTCTCCGCCCAGGTGGTGCCAAGAGGGCGGTGGGGGGGGTGCGTGACGCGCGTGTTCGTGAATGTCACCCCCAACGCTGCCAAAACACGCCCGTGGTGGCCGTGATGCGCGTACGTGGCCTGTCATCCAGCATTGTGGAGGCAGCGGAGCGGGAGGGGGTGTCAGTGGATCGTCGTGCAAATCGTCGTGAGAATCCCATTCCCGTGGGGCGTCGTACGCCGGCTCGCCCCGGGAGTCGGCAGGACAACAACAACAGCGACAAAATGTGGACTCCGCCTCGCCTCGTCCGCACGGGATAAAGTGTTGCCCCCTCGCACGCGTGCGTTTGGCCCCCCTCCCCCACCCGGGTGCTCCGGTCTCTTCCCGCGTGTCAACACTCGGCCGCAAACATTCTTAATATATAGGGGACCGCAGAGCTTGGGATACTTGCCGGCACCGGCTCACTGCCTGGCTGCCGCCTTTCCCCGCTTGCCTGCGGCTCCTCGCGCCCCGGCATTGTGCGGCGCGCTGACAAGGTGACGTCATGACGCGACGTAGGTTTCAGTGTCAGTGTTGGGCTGAAGGGGTCCAGTCACCGCGATCCTCCTAAGACGGCGGCACTCAACCCGTGGGTCTTTCTGGCGGGGTGAGGGTGGGTAGACGGGAGGGGGGGCACAGGCTGCGGCATGCATACCGTGCAGGAAAATTTTAAATAAAAGACTCGGTAGCCTCCTGTAGGCGCACGGCGTGCCACTACGCCACACTGCACGGCCGCTTACGGAGTTCGTCAGAGGGACATCCCAACACATGGAGGTCTCTCTGCCGCCAGCGCTGATATTTGGCGTGCAAAATAATTTTGAGACTATGGCCGGCATCATCTGCGGCCATTATTCGAAGGCTTTTTTACTTTTACCGTCAGTTGGGCTGGGGGAAGGCTAAGGGGGTGGGGGTTGGAGGGGCACGGGAATCGATTGGGGGGCCGGCGAAGCATCGTGGCCCAAATTAGAAAAATAATCGGAAAGCGCAGCAGCCGTTGTGAATCGGATGGCGGCCTACGGCTACAGTCAACACACCCGCGGTATTAACTAGGGCGGCCCACGCCGCATTCCACCCGCGAACCTCTGCAACGAGCGGCCGGCGGGCGGGACGCGCTCCCGCAAGGCCGCGTCGCCTGTAGGATTTCACCGCGCGCCACGGTGTTGCGTTTCGGCCGTCGTAAAGCGTTTAGCGGGTATTTCCGGGCCCCTCGGTGAAATTCCAGATCCACCGGGTTGCTAGCCCCTGTAACCCCCTTGCGGCGTTAAGCGTCGCCTTCGTGCTCTCGTGTCACTCGTCATCCTGCAGCTGGAAGCGCTGGGCTACCTGGGGGCCGAGCAGCTCGCCGTGCTGGCGGCCCAGCCGGGCTTCCTGGGGAACTCAAGCCTCGTCATCAAGATGTTTGAACTCTCCCTGCTGTCCTACGAGTCCGTGGCCACCTTCCTGGACAAGCTCATTGCCACCGTGAGAAACGCTCGAGCTCCCGACCCCTCGCTCGCGCTTTGGCGACGTGTTAACCGCCTCGCCTGGCATTCAGGAAGTCGTGGCTTAGATCCAGACCCCGACGATGCCTGTTGTATATTTGGAGTTTGCATGTCTCTGTCTCTCTTCCCCCCGTAGTAGTGTGGATATTTCTCCGGGTCCTTTTGTTTTTCCCTCGTCATTTAGAATCAATATTCACGCGTTTAGAGTATTCGCCTGCGATAAATTTGTATGCGACAAGCCACTTAGTTGAGCTGTCACTTGTGGCCAGGTCGCTTCTAAAATGTGTTGCAGTAGCACGGTCGGCTTACTTCACGGTGCAAAATAATTTCAACGTGGGCTGCCCCCCCCCCACCCCCCGCCTTTCCACGCAGGCGAATCCCTCGACGCTGTCCGACCTGAACCTCGACTCCAAGCGCCTGGTGCTCACCTTCGTGTGGGCCTTGCTGGAGCCGCGCTTCCCCACGCTAGGCGAGGCCGAGTGGGGCGGCGCGTGGCTCTCGCGCCGCCTTCCGCCGTTCCTCGTCGCCATCCAGCCCCATCAGGTGGCCTCCGTGCCGGCCTCGTTCAACTGCTCCGCTTTCCAGGCCTTGTAAGCGGGGCGGCCGCGAACAGGGGGGTGGGGGGGGGGGCAATTGCGTGGATCATCGCCGGGCGCGTGGGGGTCAGGGTCACGGTTTGGACAAGGGGCGGCGAGCGGTCAGTTTGGCCCATCTCGCGGTGGCCTTGGGGTCAACTATGGTGTCTCCCATCTTTCTGTCCTGCAGTGATGGACCGTGACTCAAAGTCGGCCCAGACACTCATAAACTCACATCGGATCTATGGGCAAAAATTTTTTTGTAATTTTTTTCATAGGTTGTGCGACAAACTGTATACGAGTAGCTAGATGTTGCGATGTGACGACGCGTTTGCGTTATTTTGCCATGTGATCTCATTGGTCCCATTTGGGCTGGGTCCAAAAAACAAATGGGCCTGTGAGGAATAATCTTTGGCGCTGCCGAATATATGGGGACTTAATGCCAACTAAGAGCATAAATAAGCAATGAAGCGTACACACTAGAGGTAATAAAACACATTTTTGCTGTTCTGATCACATTGGCAATTTCCCTGGAATAGACCGGCCCACTGAAGCATTTGCCTGGACTGCCACATAGGCTTAATAGGCCTGCTGTCCTGTATCTCCCGTGTGCCCGTGTCTCCCTTGTGCCCTGTGTCTCCAAGTATCACATTTGCCTCCCGTGCGCAGCTACGACAGCTTCGAGAGCCTCTATGACCGCCTGCCTGTGCCCGTGCGCACCGAGGTCGCCCGCAAGATCACGCAGCTACTGCAGCCAACAGGTGGCCACCGCCCACTCGAGATGGGAAACCCGCCACCCACCATCCTCCCCCCACCACCCTCTACCCACCACTCTCTACCCACCACCCGCCTTCCACCCACCACCCACCACCTCCTCACACCACCCTCCACCCCCAAACCACCACCCTCCATTCTCCATCCTGCATTCGCTACCCTTTACCCAGAACCCACCACCCTCTACTCACCACCATCTACCCACTACCTCCAACCCACCACTCTCTACCCACAACCCACTACCCGCCACCCTGGCGTGGTCAGGCTGGAGTGTTGGGCGGTAACTTGTCGAAACGGTAGCGTGTTTGTCACTCTTTGCAAATGTCCACGGTTCGAGCCCAGCGGCTGCGCCGGTTAACGCTGCAGTGCTTAGAAACCATTTATGCTTCGCGCCTGTCTGCTTCACAGTGGACGTCACAGGTTCCTGCGAGGTCATCCAAAGCCTTCAAATGACATCGCGCTGTTTGTCCTGTGTTTGGTGCGTGGCGGCAGTGGCCGAGAGGTGCGGCAAGAACGTGACGAGTGAGGATCTGCTGCTCAAGTACTACGGCCTGTTCTACCGGGAGGCCAACTTCAGCGACTTCACACAGCTCCTGCCCAGCTTCAAAGGGGTGAGCGGCCATCTCGGACTCGAGGCCGCGGATCCACGAGGCCGAGATCCGCAAGCCTAGGTCCAGGCCAAGGCCCCAGAGCCTTTTAGATCAAGGCCCGTGTGTAGACCAGTCAAGGCAGGATCCTTTAGGCCAGCGATTCCCAAATCTCTGGGACAATGGAACACCGTTAGCTCTCGGAGAATTCTGATGGACCACCATGCTTTGTGAGATGTCAAAAAGAATATTGCATCTGAAACAGATCCTTGCGAAACATTGCGGAGCCACAGTGGTCCCCCCAACATCGCCCCCTCTGCGCGCTGTGCCTGCCTTCATAGGCGCTGCTCGCTTACAGCACTTGCCCTGACGGTCTGTTGAAGGCTATAACGTAGGGTGATCTTTGCCTTTGTTTTGCGCGTGCTTGCCCATTCACTCGTGCGTTTGTGGGTGCGTGCGCGCGCGGCAGAGCGCAATGATGACGTCGTCCACCAAGCTGACCGCGTTGCAGCTCGCCGACCTCCTGATCTCGCTGGGGCCGCGTGGCACGCGGGCCGACGCCACCCAGGCGCTGGCGCAGTTCAGCACTCTGCCGTGGCCCTCGTCGGACCTCGTCGCGTTCACAGAGCGCATCGGCCAGGTGAGAGTAGCGTCGCCACGCCGTCCGCACCCGTCTCGCTCCCTCTCCTCCTTCTCTTGCCTCCTCCACCTCTGCCTGCCTCCTCCATCTCCTCCTGCCTCCTCCACCTCCTCCATCTCCCCCTGCCTCCTCTTGGTGCCTCCTCCACCTCCTTCTGCCACCTCTTCCTGCCTCCTCCTCCTCCACCTCCTGCCACCTCCACCTCCTCTTCCTGCCACCACCACTACCACCACTACCACCACTACCACCGCCACCATTGTCTTTGCGCAGGGTGCTGGGCAGTTGAGCGACGAGGTGCGATCCGAGCTCGTGACGGGGCTGTGGGGGCACCTGACTCCTCACCTCGTCAAGATGAAAGAGGTGGAGCTGAGCACGTGGATGGGCCATCTCCTTGGGCCCCTGCTGCCTGCCCTCTCGCCCAGCACCCAGCTCTTCCCAGCCGGACTCACCTGCTCGTCATACCTCATCATGTGAGATGCAGCTCAGTCTTCATCAGGGGCATGACTCTTGGGTTTCTGCCCTGTGCACAGGCACTACCCATAGAGGCACCAGTAGCCAATCACAGTGATGTCTCACACTGCCTACATAGGCATCAGCAGCCAATCACAGTGAGCTCTCACACTGCCTACAGAGGCATCAGTAGCCAATCACACTGATCTCTCACACTGCCTACAGAGCCACCAGCAGCCAATCACAGTGATCTCTCACACTGCCTATAGATGCATCAGCAGCCAATCACAGTGAGCTCTCACACTGCCTATAGATGCATCAGCAGCCAATCACACTACCGATTAAGCTGCACTCCACCTGTTCCTTTTTATAACCCTCAACATAATTAAAAATGTCTATATCAATCCTTGCTGCTTTTGCAGATTTTTCAGTTTTTCAAGCAAGTTGATGAGTGCAGTCATTGGTGACTTGAGATTATGATGCTTGAAAATCCAGTTTAATCTCAGGCAGTTACCTTTATTTCCCCAAAAATCACTGCTCCTTGGCCGTGCCGGGCCAGCCCAGTGCGACTCAGCAGGTGCCAGTTTTTTTTCCACTGCAGAAGCAGTGCCGTGCCGATGATGTCGCAACACGATCAACGAGTTGATTGACCCCGCCCCCAGGCCCTGCTTGGCCCCAAGTCAGATTTAGGGTTTCATCGTTTCGGTTCTGGCAAATGCCCAGCGTGGAAAACCAAACCCATTGCCGTCCAATGCCCCACACCGGCTTGGCTCGAATGTGGCAGTGGAAAAAGGGGGTTGAGATGCGCCCGTTTAGCTTCCTAAGCCGCGTAGCCACCTCGCCAATTGACGAGAGCCTCGGCTGCCCCGTCTCGTTTAACCGAGGCTAACGGTCGCCTTTTGCCACCCAACAGGATGGCTGCTCTGAACAACTCCTACGACAATATGTCCGCATCCACCCAGCACAGCATTTACCTGCAGACGAAGCAGTACCTGAAAGGTGAGAGCTCCGTGCCCGTGGCCTTGAGTCAGGCCTCAGCACGACCCACCGACCCACTTCCCCCACCAAACCCAGCCTCAGGCCGCCGTGTGTGTATATGTTTACCGATGGGTAGAGCCGTGCTCTTCGAGTTGGGCTGTACGAGCTGGACTCTCTCTCTGATCACGATCATCGGTTCAATTTTACTCGACTAATCGGTGAGCACGAAAAATCGGTGGAAAACAAAAGTCTCGCCCCTCCGTTCCCACGCGTGCCGCTGTACGGAGAGGTGGCAGGCGAGGGTCGGTGACGTCATCGGTCCGCCTGTGGCGTGTCGGTGGTTTCCTACCTTCAGAGTAGTCCATTACAAATCTTAGTCGATGTGTGTCGTGTCCTGACCTCGCTCTCTCGTGGCGCGCAGTGGCGAAGGGCTGCCCCTTGGAAAACGTGACGAGCGGCACCTTCCTCTCCACGTACCTCGGCAAGTTCAGCCGCCAAGCCGCCTTCTCTGAGTTCACAGAGATCCTGCCGACCTTTCAACCCGTACGTGCACTCGGTGACGCCTCATGACCTTTAACCTTCCTCTGCGCCGCACGCGCGTGTTCACAATTAACCCCCCTCCCTGCCACCCCCCCCCCCCCCATCAACCGCTGCTCTCCCCAGTTGCAGGTGCTGGAGCAGCTGAGCCCTGCGCAGCTCGGTGACCTGGCGGGGGTGCCCGAGCTGCTGAACAGCACGGCCGTCGTGGACCAGATTTTGGCGAATGTGCACGGCATGGCCGAGCTATCGAGCTTCATGGAGCGCTACACCAACGCGGTGAGCCACGAAGGCTAGGCACAGGCCACGGCCCCGGAGCCTTTCGGGTTGAGGCATCGCCCGCTGCGGTGCCAATGAAGACACCGTTAAGCCGGCAAGTTGTTGTCTGGTAATTCCCGCTGCTGAGCAAGGGCCCTGCCAACTTCTTTTCTGTTCCTCCGTGAAGGAGGAGGAATCGAACACGCGGTTACAGAAGTAGTCCAACAGTTAGAGCACCTGGTGTGATGCGTAAGCCCCAACAGACTGTCGAAGGCTACATGGAGGGAGATCTTTGTCTTTTGTGTGCGCAGAGCACGTCGCAGCCCAGCGTGGAGGTTCGCGCGCGCATGATGAGCCAGGTGTGGGGGACGCTGGGCCCGAGCTTGGCCACCCTGCCCGACGCCCAGGTGTCCGTGTGGTTCTCGCGGTACCTCGCCCAGCTCCTGCCGACGGCCACGTCGGCCCAGCTCGCCTCCCTGCCGCCCTCACTCAACTGCTCCGCCTTCCAGGCCATGTGAGTGAGGCTCCGCGGCGACAGTCGGTCAAGCAGGGGCGCAGGCACACGGCGGGTGTCTGTGCTGTGCCACCAGCGGTCGTCTCCCCCTGGGTTATTGGGTAGATTACGTACGTGCGTTGAACTTCTTTTGTGCCGGAGGTAGCCAACTGGGCCAATCGGAGGTGCGGGGGAAGGGGCAACAAACTAAACACAAAAAACAGTTCTAAGAGGCCAACTGCTCAACGGCACCGAACTCCGACGAGTCTCTCGTATTGAATTCCCGAGCGCGGTGCCAAACCTCCCCCGGTGAAAGGGGGCCCCCGTCTGCGACAATCGAAAGACCGTTTCCTGAAACTCGATGGCTCGATGTCTCGTGCCGCGTGCAGCGTGGGAGGCCTGGACGGGGCCTACAGCTCCCTGAGCGTGGACGCACGGCGTGCGTCCTACCTGTGGATGTCTCGCTTCCTCTCCGGTACGACCTTCCGGCGAGTTCGCTGGCCTTCAGTTGCAAACGCCGCCAGCGACCTCGCCCCGATCTGCACCACCGGCTTCATTTCTCGTCTCGTGCCATCCTCTCTCTCCACCGCATTCTGTCCGCCGCCGGTCTCGCTGTATTGTCCGTCTCCATCCCCCGTCGATTCGCTCGCATCATCTGTCCTCACAATGCTCCCGTTGCATCATCACCAACTCCCCATCGCGTGCTCTCTATCTCTCGTCCAGTCCTCCCCACAGAGGCCCCGCGCTGTGGGGTCCCTGCTGGCACCGTTTCAGGATGGATCCCCGCCAACCTCGGCCACTTTGTGCTGCTCGCGAGCCGCTCTGACCTGCAGGGCTTCCTCACCGACGCTCAGCAGGTAACTCCGTCGCCTACACCACCGTGGCGAGATGTTAACTACCTCGCCTGGTATGTAGGAGGTCTTGGGTTCTATCGCAAGCCTGACATCTGCTGTATAATTGGAGTGTGTATGTTTTCCCCGTGTTCACGTTGATTTTTCTCTGGGTCCTCTGGTTTTTCCCTCCACATTTAGAAGCAACGTGCATTCGGAGTATTTAGCTGCTATACATTTCCACGTGATGATAAAGCCGCTTCGTTCAGCAATCATTTGTGGCCAGGTGGCTCCTGAAAAAAGAGCTACATAGCTCAGTGGGGCCTTACCTAGTCAAATAAAAATGTAGGGTCTAGTTTTAGTTTACACCAGCAACGGCGCTTCTCGGGATCAAGTTCCCAATGACCATAGGGGGGGCGGGGTCTCAGCACCCCAGTAGCTGTAGGCTCTCCGAGTCAGGACCCCTATTGCTGCAACATCTCAGGAACCCAATTTGCCGTGGGGGTCACAGGACGACCCACGGTGGTGGGGTCTGAGAACACCGATTGCCAAGGGGGGGGGGTTCAGGATCCCAATGACCCCTGGGTCTCAGGACCCCCACTGGCTCTGAGGCCGGGCGGGTCTCAGGCCACCAGGTGGCCTCGCTGACTTTGCCCCGTCGTTGCTGGCTGCGTCGCACAGCTGGACGCGGCGCTCACGACGGACGCGGTGGTGGACACGTTCCGGGCGGCGCGCGATCTGCCCTCCGACCTCCAGAAGCTGGTGCTGGGCGCGATGCTCAACCGCAACTTCACTGCTGACAAGTGAGGCCAGCGGCCCTATTGCCCGGTGGTCCGGGCACCGGGGGCCAAGGGTAACCGGGAGGGCAAAATCACGAGGGCCTAGATTCCCCTGAATTAGTCCTAATTGGTTTAAAGCTTTCGTGACTGCAGGGATTCATCTTCTTGCTTCTTTCGGTAAAGTCACGTAGAAGGGAAATAATAAAATAATAAAAATTAAACATAATAAAATAATTCTCACGATGTTTCGGCCACAACACAAGCAGCCGTCCTCAGGTGAAGAACAGGTCTGTCGGAAAGACAGCGTCTGAATGAAACACCACCAGGCTTGGCAGCGTATATTTAAGCCGGGTTGGAGGGGGAAGAGCGCCTTGACATTCCTTCCCTTTATTAATGCTAACCCTACTCCCTCCCTTTGATGCTGCTAATCCTGCATAATGCACGGGCATAATATAACTTTGAAACCCCCCGCCCACCTCCTACACATTCAACAAGTAGTGACTAATCCCATATCTGCATTTCCCATAAATATGTAAAATTCCTATTGATATGCAAATTATTTTGGGTGACGTACTCTCCCCACGCCAAGAAGCCACCGCACGATCGTACTCAGGATTACTTGCACCTCTATGGTGCATCACAATGAGAATCTCGATTTAGACCCGGAGGAATACAGTGTCTGAATCGCAACGGCCAAAGTCGCCCAACTGCCCCTGTGCCCGCCAGGATTCCGGATTCCGTGATTTGCGTTTACCCGGACGTGACGACCGTGCCCCCGACGGACGCGGTCCTCGTCGCCAAGCTCAAGGCGTGCCTCCAGAGCGCCAGCGCCGGCTCCGCCAGTGCCCAGCAGCAGCAGCAGAAGGTCAGTTTAACACGTAGCAGGCTTTCGCGACCAATATTATTCATAATCAACGTTTTTGGGTTTGATCGCGTTATTTATAAATGTGTCGTAACCCTCCAACACCCGACACGGACAATCAGCAAAAAAAGTGTCACGTTGACAAAAGACAAATAGTTCACTGCTTTAGCCCACCGGTGTGTTGAAGCGTGAAACCAAAACATTTTTTTTGTAAATGTTGTGGTTTCACGCTTCAACAAACCGGTGGGCTCAGGCAGTGAACTATTTGTCTTTTGTCAACGTGACACTTTTTTTCTTGCTGATTGGCCGCGTCGGGTGGTGGAGGGTTACGACACGTTTATAAACAACGCGATCTCACCCAAAAACGATGATTATGAGCAGCAGAAAGTACTGGTGCCACCGTCCCCACCCACCGCTGCCCACCCTCACCCCCTCCCCATCCCCACCGCGTCGGGGATGGTGAGGGGGCGAAGGTGGTGGTGGTGGCCGGAGTCGAATAAAACTAAAAATCCTCCGGGCACGGGACTCGTCGGGGAAAAAAATAATGCAATGAAAGTGTCGTGTGTTTTTTTGTGTAAAGCATCGATACGCACAAGGTAGTAGCAATGAGGACAGATGAAGTGGGAGGCCGTGCTCGTAACTGTCGTTCTGCAGTCATCCACTCAGGATGGCATCGTTCACAAAAGCTGCCCGCGCGCACCCACAGCCCATTCGCCGTAAGAATGGCGCGGATAGCAAATGTGCTCGTTGTTTTTATATGAAACAACTTATTCATTTGTCAGGCTCTGGAGCTGGCCCAGAGGTTTACAAAATGTTTTTCACAATAACATTGTGTATCCGGGAAAACCTAACCTCATATCAAGACTCTCTCTTTCTCTCAAGGAGGTCCGGCGTCAGGACGTTTGGCCAATTCCTTCAGTGAGAAAGCCAAAAAGCCCATTTTATAAACACCCCCACCGTGCGTACAAAGGGATAACACTCAAAGCTCCGCACAGACGGAGTACTCCAACTTTGGCGAGTTCTTGACAAAAGTGAGAAGAAAACCGGAGGACCTTGAAGACAGGCAGACGAAGGGACAGCGCCCAACACTGAGGACGCACGACCGCCGCGAGACACCGATTGCGAGTGGATTGATAATCACGCCCGAGGGGACAGATTCAGAAAAACAACATGTCTCCCCCCCCCCCCGCCGCGTCACCTCGCCGCCTCTCTGTGCCGCAGATCGCCCTGGCGATTCTCGCGGGTGCCGGGCAGCAGCTGAGCGCGGCGCAGCTGGTACAGCTGGGGCCCGTTGCCCTGCTCCTGAGCCCCGCCGCCATCGCCAACTTGAGCGGGCAGGCGGTGCTGACCGCGTTGCCCACCCTGGGGCAGCAGAGCGGGTGGAGTCTTGCACAGGCCCAGCAGTTCGTCAATAAATTGGTCGACATGGGAGTCTACGTGAGTGGCACCAGCGGACGCGGTGGTCTGTTCCCCAATTAGGCTTTGACCCCCCCCCATATGAACCCGTGACCCCGTGTGAACCTGTGACCCCCCTCTATGTGAACTCGTGACACCCCGTGTTAGCCTGTGACCCCCCCCGTGTGAATGTCTGACCCCACGTGAACCGGTGACCCCGCATGAACTCGTGACCCCCGTGTGAACCCATGACACCCATTTGAACCCGTGACTACGTATGAACCCGTGACCTCGCGTGATCCCATGACCTCGCGTGATCCCGTGACCCCCGAGTGAACCCGTGACACTGTATGAACCCGTGACCCCGTGTGAACC